TCAGAATTGAATTAAGATAAATTTCTTTCAATAATTCTATTTCCTTCGAATTTCCTTTTAGAATCCTCACTTTTAAGAATCTTATTTTTGTTCTCAAATTTTATTTATTTTCTATTTTTTATAATAAATGGTTTCTTCTTTTAAAAACAATCTTGAAATATATATTCATTTTTTTTATAGATATAATATAAATTATTCTTTTTATATCTCTTTTTCTTATCAATATTTAAATTGTTTGATTTTATATAATATTGTTCAATATTATTTAATTCTATTGGATTATTGATATTATAATATTTATTTTAATAATAAAGTTTTGAAACTTTCTGCTTTTCTAAATGATTCCTTTTTACAACAATATGTTGAGATGTAAAATCGATTATCATAAAATTGGTTTCACACAATTAACGGAACAGTATTCACTGATTTCGATACTTCTGTAGGGCTGACTGTGAACTGTATGTGATGCCTCCCGTTGTCTCAATTCCTTCGATGGATTAAATGCCTGTAATTGGATGCAATGATAGGAATCAATCAGTGTTGCAGATGACTTGGGATAAATTCCCAAGCCCAAGCCCACTTCCTCAAGTTATCTCGACCTAGCAGCTTTACTGGCAATCTTGGAATGCATTCAAACTAGCTATAGCTCTCGGAATTTCCAAATTCACCTTCCGCCCCTCTTCTTTCCTTCTCCTTCTTTTCGTGAGGTTGAGCATGCACAGATGAGCGGCTGATTCACTGTATATTCACAAACCCCTCTTCCCCTTCCAATCCTCTCTTCCTCAACCACTATTACTCTTTTCAAGGACTTTCTTATTCTTGTTTCTTACTCTATTCTTCTTCTCCTCTACAACAACCAACTTTGTTTACCTCTACTATCTACAAATACCTCCTCAACACACTTTCACACTTGTTTCTCCAATATTCCTACTTTGCTTTCCATTTTGCATCACTTACACTTTATCTTTAAAACGGAATCTAGAAAACTCCATCCTCTACGATTCTTCTCGACTGGTAGCCTAGCAAAGACAAGCCCCTAGTTGTGGAACACACGATCCCTAGATCAACCAAGACTACGAAAACATGGACATGACTTCATCTTACCAAAATGGAGTCGAGTCTTCTAACCTTGACCAAAGCCACAACTATGTCCCAAATCTCACCTTCTCACCCGCTCACAATTCCGTGCACTATGGTAAAGGTCAACCTTTGCAGACTCTCAGGTTGACTTTATCACAAGCCTAAAGGTCCGCATTGCAGTTTTGGAGAATGATCTCGTTCATACTACAAAAGACAAGGATGAAGCTGTCAAGAGCTCAGTCATTATTGCTAGAGCTTTGGGTAATGTTGCCAATAATTCGGGGCTGATTGCGAAGAAGCTACCGGATCCTGATACCGGGAATTGGCAGAGCTACGGTTAGAGGTGAAGAGATTGAAAACAGAGAATGGGGTGCTTTTGGGTCGACTTGGAGACGTTAGCTTAACAGTCCCAGGAGGATATCCGACCCAACTCTAGAAAAAAGAAACATCAAAATTTCAAGACTCTTGACGATGTTCTCAGCTCCGATGAAGAAGAAGAAGAACAAGAGGTCAAAATTGAAGATCAAATTCTCTATCAAGAACGTGCCGACGCTAACTTTATCAACATTCCCACTCCCGCAGTTCTCAAATGCGGATTTGAATTCTCTCAGAAAGCTGTTCGTGGTGATAATTATGCTAATCGTGGATACACTAACCGCGATAACTATTATACGTTTCAACAATCGTAATGTACCGGACCAAGATCTTTTGAGTTTCCTCCAGATATGAGCGAAGGTACGAGTATCTGGGCTACACCACAACAGAGATGGTGAAATTAACACTCATATGCGAGCTTCTGATTCTAGAGAACATAGATTCCTGATTATTTCAGATATGGAGTGGTTTATGTTCCCAAGGCAGATGATCGTGATACCTTGCGTGGGGTACATATTGGTGGACTCCCAAAGGATATCGGGTTGAGAGATGTACTTGCTCGTGTTCGAGGAGGGAGAATTTATTCATCGGTTTTACTGGACACAATGAATGTTTCGGGAAGTAACTCTGCGCTCATCACTTTTATGAATCAGGCGAATGCGGAAGCGTATGTCGAATATGCGAATGCTCATCCTATTACTTTTGGTACATCGGACTCTGCGGAGAAAACCAGACCAAGGCAATTATCACTCATCTCCATACCCCTACATTCCCCTTTTCCCTGCAAAGCTCAAGGCAATTTTTGAGTTCAACCGTACCCGTATCCTTACAATCCGCAATTTTCCACAACATATCTCGCTTCGAGGTCTCGAGAGTGATTTGGCCGGCAGAAATGCGTTAAAGGCGAACAGTTTGTTGGAATGGTATATTGATGAAGAGGGGACTCTCAGAATGGAATTTGTCAGTATGGATGAGGCAGTTAGTGCGTTTGGACTGTTGTCTAGTTCAAGGGGTTATAAGGATTTTAGATTGGTATTGCAGTTTGAGCGGGATAGCTGTGAGGGGGATTTGGAGGAATTGGAGAAAGAACCTGAGAAGAGAAACCTATGTTTCCGAGGACTAAATTTGGAGTTAGAGGTGAGAGATGTGTAAATGGTGGAGTTAATGGATTGGGGAATAGTGGATCGGTCGAAACATTTGGTTGTCGTACTGATGAGGTCACGACATTGGATAACAGCAGGTGCACTGAAGAGATTGATACTTTCAAACCTCAGCCACAGGACAAAAATTCAAGCAACGAATCAACATCTTCACCCATCGAAGCTCCATCCGATGCCCCCAGAAAAGACCAAGATACCGCTTTCATCACCCCAAAACGCGGACCTCGAATCATCGCCGGAAAACAATGGCTTCTCGAAATTGCCAGCGCAAAAACATCTACATCTCAATCCACATTAACAATACCAAACGCCTCCGCACACACACTGACACACCCACCTCCAACAACTCCACCCCAAGACCCCGTCTTACCATCTCAACCACATCTCTTCCCCCACCAAACACGAATAAATCTAGATCCCCTGACCCCAGCTCTGCAGAATATAGTATTCATTCTTTTGCTTCTTCTGCTGTTTCTGTCGATGATGAGGATGATTTGCCTGGATCCTTTCCTCCCAAGAACAAAGATCAAGCTCAAGCTCCAGCGCCGGTTCAAATAAAGACTACAAAAAATTTCTTGGCTAGTTTTGGAGGACCGCTTGTTTATGCTGGTAAATCTACTCAATCTTCTCAAAGATTCAAGCTCTCCATTCAGATGCGTCGAATCTTCCAACCCAAACTCTCAAACCTTCAGAAATAACCTCGTAGTCAGAAACGCGGATACAGATACGAATGTATATTTTGTTCCAGGAGCAGACAATGAAAAGCTATTTTGGATAGTGAGGTTGATAGTCAGAGAGGTAGATGATCGTGAGAAGAATGAGAGTTTAGAAATTTTCGAGGGATGTTTGTGGGATTTTGTGGGGAGGATATGGGTAAGAGTGATGAAGGTGGAAGTGAAGAGATATGGAGGGGAGTGGAAGACGCTAGGAAAGGAAATGAAGATGGAGATGAAGAATAAGATTAATCCAGATGAAATTGATCTTGGTCTTCAATCTGATGGGGATGTGACGGATGCAGATGGACATGGAGAGAAAATGAAATGAGAATGAAGGGCTTTTCAAAAGGTTGATTGGTAAATCTACAGATCATTCCGAGACTTCACAACCTTCTTCTGAAGGTCTCTCTTTCATGAATTACAACCAGAAACCCGATTCAAAGAATGCGATTGAGGAAGTTACGGGTGGTGGGGAAATAAAAGAGATAAACAACCGTGACAAAATTCCCATCACAGGGGTTTAAGCGAAATATTTTATTTCTAGGTGAAGGAAGTTGAAGTTGATTCTATTGCGGGTGTGGTGGGATTGGGAATTATCTTGCAATGAGCGATGAGAGATGAGTTGAAGAATGGTGGATGGCTATACAGTTTCATTTATTTATATTTAGCGTGGCCAGAGAGGGCGGAGGGCAGTTTAGGGAGGAAATATTAATAATCTTATTTTTCATATTTGGTTTTGTTATGGGGAGAAGGGTAGGAATGATTATTTGCGTGGTTATTCCTATGGTTATGCTTTTAGTTGGGGAATGAGGGAGATAGGGTGATATGCCTGGTGGGGATGGGGTTTTCATATTCTGCGTCGATGGCGGGTGGATGAGAGATAGAAGTAGAAATAAAAATGCGTCGTTTACTTGAATTACTCATCGCATACCATTTGAATTCGTGACCGAATCCCTACCAAAATCAAAGTTTTCTATATAAAACATAAAATTAAAGACTGAATAACTTTTTATTATTAAATAAAATAAATTGAAATTTTGAAATATGATTAGTAATTAAATATAATAGAATTAGAAAAAGATTTATAAAAAATTTTTAGTAATTTACTTTCGAAAGTTACAAATGTTTATTTATAGTATGATAATACGTTACAAATCTAATATATTCCGAATTTATAATCAAGATACATCTTCTCTCATTGTAAAATACTCACCTTACTCCATATTCGTTTCCAACTTTCCTTTTCTCTCCTTTAGATTTTACAAATGAAAATTTTGGCTTGGTTTACACATGGTTTGGCATAGTACTGAATCCAAAGGGTTTCTAGTGTCACGGACTTCGTATAAAGGACGATTATGTAATTCCAATTGATCGACAATTCCTATCGGTGAGCTGATAGTCTGTGTACATTTTTCCAAATTCACCCTTTTAGTATAGCATTATGGTCACCTTGGAAGAAAGCGCACAACCATACAGTTATTATATAGGTATTTTGTATATATATATGGATGCTCCCTACGAGCCATAGTTCTTCAGTTGTAGATTCTAAGGAATATAATTGACCCTGTTTATTTAGCTCTTATGAGGCTTTTGTACGTCACATCTAGCTCCATGGTGATAAATGGAAATATTTCGACGAGGATTCCATCCAATGAAGCCCCTTATTTAGCGCCAACGCTGGCGGCTATCTGCAAATTTGAAGTTTTTTCCCACAAAATTACGGATGTGCGGCTTCGCGCTTCGCTAATAGGAAAGTTCTAATTGAAATTTATGATTTGATATGAGAAGAAGAATGCTTTATTAGCAGTACATTGGCTTGGCCGCTGGGTGCGAGCTGACTGTGTAGTCACAATGTCACGGTAGAGGAGGTTCGTAACTTCTTTTCTATAAGTCCATAACTCAGATTTTTTGTGTATCTTTCGAGATTAAGATTCTTTAAAAAATAGTTTTATGTTAAATGAAGTTCCAACCAACGCCTAAAGAAGATAAATCTCGATCGCTAGAAGAAAGAAATGTGTACTTCAATACACCGAACCTCCTCCGTGTGAGTCTACCGAAGAATTTTGCAGCACAACGAACATCAAAATATATCATGATGGTTAATATCCTCTCAATAATCATCGTAATTCTCTCACTTTTTCGTTCTCTTATCTCGGCTGACTTCACAGGCTGGATTTCCAATTACATAGAACTCATCAAAAAGCGTGACGCAGCAGCTCAAAGCTACAAATACCACGGCCTACTCATCCTTTCCGCCTATGATCTCCAATTACGTTTAATAGATCTCTTAGAGAATCTCCTCGCACATATTCATGACCAAGATGCAAAAGATAGTGTATATATCTATGCAGCCTTTCTCATCGGACAATATTTCTTTCTCCTGCGCAGATCGATTTCAAAAATAATTGCAACTTCATCGATCTTCGGATAATGATGATTTCAGGATGCTTTTAGATGTAATTGGATAGGCTTTTGCTTTACATATGCTGATGTGGATCCATTTATGTGTGGCATGATCAGCAAATCGCAATTGCTGAAATAATGACAGTCAAAGATGAGGATGGTGAATACTCTTGTTAAAGTTATGCCTCATTTCACAAAAATTATTGCAATGACTTTCGAGTCAAGAAATGGTTTCGACCTATAGGAAGGGAATAAGCTTGCTATTGCGCGTGAGGGGAATTCGGGATGCAACTTTCAGATTAAGGAAATTTCAGCATCGTTTGGTTGATTTTATCTTTGTGTTGAACTTGGAGACTGGTGCTCTGAGAAGGGGTGTGCCTTTGCGTAGTGAAGGATCAAGGTTGTTGGCGCACCTGGTCGTAGATGTCTTAAAGTGTTACTTTTATCTTGCAGGGAAGGCGGTAAGATCAAGGTATGATAGGGTAAAGGAGGGATAGAGATGGAACTTGGTATCCTTTAATGTCTATTATGCTGTTTTAAATAGGAAAAATATGTTAATGATATAATGAGGCTTTAATAAAGTGTTTAGTTGGTGGTTGGGAGCAAACTGTGAGTGTGTATTGATCATTTGGTATATGAATAAGGTAGATATATGTTTGAAGTTTCCGTACAGTTGATTTGTAACTTGCTGCCGTTGACCGTTTGCGATCGATTTTCTCTGTAGCTTTATTTCCTTAACATCTTCCAATGGTTAAACAGGCCGTTTAGAGCTTGTCCCTATTCATAGTTCGCTAAGTAGATATCCGGAGAAGTGTGTATGAGGGGTTAATATGTCCTAAGCGAAAACAGAGATGATGCGATAGGAAACATTTCATCGAGCCAAATGATATAGACTATGTAATACTTTCGCAAAATCTTTTTCTGCAAGTCTTAAATCTGTGGTAAATCAATGAAACTATCAGAAATACGAATAGTCAATACATTGAGTCTCAGTCCCGGAGAGGAATCCAAATACGAGAGCTGAAGAAGAAATAGTAAAAATGCGAGGTATAAGACGGTGGTGATTCGCAAATGACATGAAGACTACTTGTAATAATTGCTAAATTTACAATACTCGGGAGCATCGTCTTGCATCGGCCAAACCACGAATCCGAGAGTAATTTAAATGGCATCGGACTAAGGTATCGGAAGAACAAGAACGCATTCCCAACCATTGTTGCTTTAGACTCTCATAATCACAAGGCGCTGGGAAGTAGTCAATCCCCAGATGGATTTTGAAGATACTTTTCTTTTATGTTGGAAGGTGACATTTTGCGGACATCAAGTCCTTACGCCATGTTACTGTAGTTCCGAAGCGTGCGAGCTGTGTTGCAAAACCTGTGAATGCCAGACACCAAGAAGTAATAGGAATTTCATCAATCTCATAATGAGACATTCAATTTCTCCTTTGGTGGTATCGCTTGGGAGATATTATCGGTCTGTTTTTCCATAACAGTAAGTCACGATTCAAGAAAAGAGTAAAACAGTTGCAATGAATTCTTGGAAAAGAAATTGGAGGACTTAGGAAAGCCCCATAATTTGTCTTTGGGTGCTGTGCCGCCGAGACACACGACGGTCGATTTCTCTGCATATCAAGTGTAATATCACACCCTGTTTACCAATTCAACCCGAAGCGAAATTTACGGACATGACTGATAAGAAGAATCATTTGCATATATGCAAGTCCACAGTTTCTGTCGACGGATGTACACTAAAACAAATGTCTGCATCTCCTTGTCGCTCGTTGTTGGTACACGACGGGATTATGATTCAAAATCTTTTAGTGCGCTTGTTTGCTAGTGGGATTTCTTCCCCATGATCACTGTTACTGTGTTGAATATTTCCGCAAGGGAAAAAATGATATTGCCATCCAGATTCTCCGTGAAATGGCTTGCATTGAAAAAGTCAATATTGTGCCTGTAAAAACTAATCTCTATAAAAATACCACCTAGTAATCAATTTAATGCATGAAGAAAGGAGGATGTGAAAGTAGATGATGCACTGGATGCATGTGGAATAAAATTGGATTGTGAAAACATCGGCCTCGTCCTTCAATGTCTGCTACCACCAATTAAACAAAGTTACTAGTGTATCTGCTTTTAAGCGTCTACTAGGAATGATTTCAAATGTTTCATGAACTTTTCTCGTTAGTCAACGTGGCAAAAATGTGCGGCGTTGTCCAAAACAATCCACTTAACCTTCTCGATATGCTCGAAAAATGGTTGCATTGCCACATCCTGTGCTTCATCCTCAGTTCCGTTGATCAAAAGCGTCGGAGCCTTGATTTTGCTTAGATTCGGAATCGATGTCCAGTTGCGAAGATTCCCATTGGGGACAAGCTCACAAGGCCCATACCTTAGACTGTTGTCAGCGAATGTACATGGAGCAGATAACTGACAGCCTTAGTTACCGTACGTAGTTGCATCCTTAGCAAACCAGTTCAGCGCAGCTTGAACTTCGGGTGCTGGCCATGGTCTAGCAAGACTGAGATGCCGCTGGTAAAAGACCTCCATGGCAGCTTGATATTACGGGCTCTCATAATCCTTGCTTTCATCTCCGTGATCCAACACCTTTTCAATTTCTAACGGAAGTTTTTTTTCCTGAGTGTATTGAGACCAATCTTCCATACCGCCATACTGGCCAGACTACTTGCGATAATTAAGCGTCGAAAGTTCCCAGATCTCGCTGGGTCAGATGCCCATACGGCTGCGAGCATTCCACTGTACCAAGTCTGGCAAGGCTCTGAAAGGCCTGGGACTATAAACTCTGCAGTACCCCCGGTCATAGTCGATTCAACAGAAATTGATGATGGCGTGTTTTTCTGAGCTAGATGAAACTTGGAAGAACCTGTATTTGCGAGAGAGAATTCTCAAAGGACGTGTGGTGACAATAATTGACGTGCGAGGCGCCATAGGAAACGCGGTGTGCTCGGGAAAAAAGACTAAGGCCTGGAGAGGAAGGTAGTTGTCGATAATAACGTATATGGGAAGTGAAGCTTCAATAATGGAACCACGGACAAGCATGTGCTCGTCTATAGTGTAAAGATGAGCTTACAATTGGGGTAAACAAGGTGTTTTGAAAAGACGGCAGGAGCTAATAACCAGTAAAAGCTCGGTGGTTGATATAGATAATATATTTTCTGGCCACCTCCCTCACCCTCTCGGGTCTCCTTATCCATGAAATTATCCTCACACCACCCCTAATCCAGCCCATCGGAGCTTTTCCGGTGAGCTTAGGTTATTCACAATTTTGTATAAGTTGCAGATCATATTCCAAGTGATTAGATTCCACTACATGAAGCGAATGTCCTGGTTGAGCACAGAATGTATGTGGAAGGTTTAATCAGTGCTTTTCTAAGACCTTACAATACCTGCATGCATGAACTATATTCGACGGTTACAATACTAATGACTAGGAACAGGAAAATTTCCATTTCATGTCTGTGTCCCGATGCACATATTGACCTTCTCCTATTGGTTACCATTCTTTCGGTACTCGAGATCTTTCTAACATTCTCTAAATCCTCGCTCGTAAGCTGCTACGCCGCCAGAGGATATGTCTCAAATGGCCCCGCCGAGTTTTGTGGTTGTGCTTTGGAAGCATTTCATGCCGCCAATATGCTTAAGAGGGGCGCGAACTCTTGGAACATAGGCATGGACTTTCGGACCGACCGGTGTTCTTTCCTTCAAGCTGATTGCGACGATGCTGCTATTTCAGTGTAATTTCTTTTCCATTAAGGAGGAAGGAGGAAGGAGGAATTTGAAATAGATATTGAAGCTTGAGATTACTTGGCCGCTCGGTAGACACAACAGACCCTCTCGTACCATTTTTCATACATTTTGAAAAGAACATGGGTCCTGTGGATCTAATCCGATTATTTGAGTAAGCTGAAAAGAGATATTTTATAAAATAACATGAGTTGTAGCTCTTATTCGCCCTGCCCAGAGTGGCCGCGAATCTTTGGTATTTTCGTCCCATTGTCCATCTCTCGCTCACAATTTATTTACGCCCTCAGTTGACTTCTCTTTTCTATTTCATGAACGAGACAAAGGGTAGCTACAAACGATCGCTGTGGACATGGACTCCAAAACGAAAAGCATGCTACGGAAACTGCATTACCAATTTCTCAATCGGAGGTAGATGAAATAGGTCGCACCAGAGATGAAAAATATCTTATTCAGCTTGACAAAAACCTGTTCTAGAGGCAAGCTATA